CTCACACACACACACACACACACACACACACACACACACACACACTTCAGGATGATTGCCCATACGCAGCAGCACATACTTGGTATTATTCAGCAGCCGGCTGATTGTGCCTGCATAGTCTCACTGGAGGATACCGGAGCTTCGGGCTCAACACTCAAGAGCTACAGATTTAATCTCCATGACAACCCCCGAGTGAGGGAGAAGGAAAAGTAGGAGGTGAAGGAGGAGGATGGTGATTGAGCGGAAGAGAGGAAAAAGAGCAAGTAACAGAGATGGGAACAAGAGAAAAACAGAGAGTGAGGAGGAGGAGGAGGAGGAGGAGGAGAGAGGAAACCTCGACTTTTACGTCATTTGCTTTGAGTCCAGGCAGCAGCTGAAGGAATGAAAACATGAAAAACCGCTTCTCCTCTTTTTACATTACATTACATTTTTGACTTGACTTTTCTGTCTCTCCTCTTATATTTTTATCCATTCTCCTCCTTTGCTATTTTTATGTCCCATTTCCTCTCCTGTCCTTTTTTCACTACCGAGAGGGTAGTGAAAAAAGGAGAAAGAAGGAGAAACAGGAAATAAATGGGACNAGATAAGAGGAGAGCTCTTATCTCGTCCCATTTATTTCCTGTTTCTCCTTCTCTCCTCTTCCTTTCTTTGCTCTCTTTCCCTTTTTTCTTCTCTTTTCTAATTTCATGTCCTTTTATATCCTCACATGTTCTCCCATCTCTCTCACCTTCCTCTCCTTTTCTCTTTTACTCCCCTCCTCTTCCCTAACCTATCTTTCCCTTCCTATTATCTCTATTCCGTTCCTTTCATTCCCTTCTCTCTATTTAATTTCCTTTCCTTTCATTTTATTTCTTGTCCTTTTATTCCCTCTCCTCTTTTCCTATCCTCATTGCTTTCCTTAATTCTCCCCCCCTCTTTTTCTCCTTTACTCATTTTATTTCCGGTCTCTCCTCTTTCCTTGTCTCTCATCTCCTTGTTGTTTCTTGCTGTGCTCCCTCCTCCACAGAGCTGAGGCTGACAGGCTATATACAGATAAAGTCGGTGTTGTTGTGTCAGAGGTCTGGCATTTAGAAGCCCACCTACCTCTCCACACACACAAACACTTATGCCTTGATGTTTGCTCTCAGAGCTTCCGGTGAATATTTTCTGCCTTATAATTTGCCTTTCTTTCCCAGGTGAAGACATCATTGCGTGGTTAGTTGACAGATTCCAAGTAGACACTCAAGGTAGATGTGACACAATCGATTGTATTCATATGAGGTATATGGAGTACCAGCTAAAAGTGTGTTTTTTATGTTAAATTCCTGCTGGTCTCTCTGTCTGTTGTCAGAGGCCAGGAGCTTCGGCTCTATGCTGGTAGCATTGGGATACATCTACCCTCTACAAGACCACAAACGCTTAGTGATCAAACCGGATGCGTCCCTCTATCGCTTCCAGGTAAACACATAAGCCTCCGAACCAACAAAGCTATATTGTGCAGCCACTTTGTCTCTGATTTTAAAGCAGCACTGTAGAGTTTTTAACTACTGCTAATACTGACATGTTTTTACAAGTGGGTGCCTGTTTTTGTTTATGTCGTGCATTCACAAGTGGATTCACAGCAGTTGGTGTCTTATGAGAAAATAAGTGAATTCCACAATTTTTTTTAAAACTCCACAGCGAACGTTTTTAACTAAAAGTCAAGCTGTGCACATCCATTCTAAATCTAGTTTAAAATACTTATTTTGGTACTATTGTTTTGATGCTATAATATATACAGTTATGATGTTATTTTCATACATTCAAATACAAACCAATGGGCAGTTTTTATTTGGTTAAAGTACTAGGATTTCATCTAGTCAATCAAAGCTGAATGCTGATGAAAACACACATTAGTGAATATTTGTTGGCTTTAAATGTGCTCTATAACTAATTTGATGCTACAAGTCAGTAAGTCTATGTTTGACCACAGTACATTTTTATTTCCATTATTGATTAATCTGTTGAATATTTTTGTTTGATAATAGTTGTAGTCTATTAAAAAATAATCTCAAAAGTCCATATCACAATGTCCAAGAGCCTAAAGTGAGGTCCTGTCCGACTATCAGGCCAAAACTGATATTTTAGATACAATATATCTTATCTTTATTGATATTAAAGACAGAACAATTAAGCTTAATTGAGAACAGAGGTAATTCTCAAACTTTACTTACAATTTTTGGTAAAAGTTTAGTTCACAAAATGTGGAAATTGCTGCTCGGCAAATTAAAGAGTTTACCATTAGAGGATAGAAGAGGCAGAAGCAAAAAAAGGGTTTGCTATATTCAATTTTACGATTTAAAACCTCACATTTGTCTGCTTTTGGTTTCCTAAGCACTTACAATTAAACCCCTCCTGTTGGTTCTAGTCTGTATAACAAACAAATCACAATAATATATCTGGCATTTGTCCGTTCCAGACCCCGTACTTCTGGCCCACACAGCAGTTGCCTGTTGAGGACACAGATTACGGTGAGTGAAACAGAAACACATTTTATCTCACCTCCTGTTACCAACTCTTACACATTCCTTTTTAATCATTGAAGCAATCTACCTGGCGAAAAGAAACATACGTAAGAAAGGAATCCTGGAGATGCACGAGCAGGTGAGAACGACAGTAAATTAGTCATTTATTCTTCCCACTGGCATTTTCTCATGTGTTATTTCATATCCCCATCAGGAACACTATAACCGTCTTCACAAGTGGATGAATCATAAATGGGATTTTATAGTGATGCAAGCTAAAGAACAGTACAGGTAGGTGTGTGAGAAACTCAAAGACGTCACTCAGTTTTCAGAAACAAAGTATCAAGATGCTCAACGTTCGTGTTTGATTTAAAAGGGCTGCGAAGGAGAGGAAGAAACCGGACCGAGTGGTGTTCGACTGCCAGGAGAGAGCCTACTGGGTGGTTCACAGACCTCCAGTGAGAACACACACACACACACACACACACACACACACACACACACACACACACACACACACACACACACACACACACACACAAATACACACACACTGAGACGTCTAGAAACAAATTGTCCTCGACCTCTATACTTCCTAGGATATCTCATTATCTCTACCCATGATGCCTCATTATCATTACTTGTCCAGTCAGAGGAAAAGGGCACCGCTGATGAATTTTTCCCACTGCGTAATGGGAATGTGTCGCAGCGTTTTGCACCTTGTGCTTGGGGCACGCTGAGTCTGAGATCTGCCCTGTTTCATGATTACTGACTAGGCTAGGAGGCTTATCTTCTACCCATGAGTCAGTGAGCTTTTAGTAATTTAATATCCCACTATAACATCAGCTGACATGGTTTGGCTGTATTACGTAATCCTGAGGCCAAGGCGTTTATAATTTAAGTGAAATTGTGCTTATATGTTGCATATTCCTGAATGCATCTGTATTTTGTCAAAGTAATTTTACGCGACATATAATAAAAAGGCCATGAGAATTCGTTTGTTTGCACTGTACTTAATAAGCACTTAAACAACAAAATTGAAGCATGAGTAGTGGCGAGTCATGATGTCGGTTAACTTATCATTGGCATATTTAATTTCACCAACACAGCACTTATTTAAAAGAAATTAACTTTATAGTCTCTTTGCCTGTATTTCGCAGAATGTTAAAGAACACTTGGAGCAAATGCAAGGACTCCAGTTTTCATTGAAACTAAATCACGAATCTTTTGTTAACTAAATGCCAAATTAACCCGAACAAAGATCCAATTGGCTCCTTAAATTATCATATGAGAGGTTGCTGACAGGCAAAGTAGCAATTATTTTGTCATTAATTTGGTGTTTAATTAAGTTAGCCCAATACCTAACTTATTTAGGTATTTAGCCTAGCAGAGCTAGGTAACGTATTTAGCCTAGCAGAGCTTTCTACAGATACAGACACGGAAGTATTAGATGTTAACACTTTTTCTTGAGATGCGTTATTAGATAAGAGCACTTATTATACATTTATTTTGGGGAACAACACAGCTTAAATGGTGTTTCAATTGCATAGAAATCAGGATGTATGTTACACTTTTTTTCCTACTTGACATTCACATACTGTACACAGAGGCATCCTGCTGTTACATTTGATTACAAGTCATATATATTTAAAGCCTCAGCTGGAAACCAACCGATTACTTTAAGTTATGCATGTGCAACAGTAATTTCATAAATCACATTTTACACGTGACTGGCCTCTTGTTGTCTCAGACAGCCAGGGGAAGTGTGACACATTAGCATCCTGTGATTAGCATTTATAAAACAGCCATCTGTTATAATAATGAGCCCTTGTTTAACACACATTGTGATATCATTTATTTGTTGTTAATTTGTTTCTGTGTAGCCGGGGACAGTGAGTGGAATGGACTATGGGCTGGATCGACAAATAGATCCAAACTCAGATGAGGTAACAGGTGAGTCTCTCTGTGACCTGCATGAACATAACTCCTGCCAATCAGCTTATATTCAGTAAGAGGCTTTGATGCATGGATCCAGGTGCAGTAAAGAATGCTGCTCTCCTCTTTCCTTTCCATGTCTGCTGTTGCCATCATTTAACTAATCTTACTAATCTTATCTAACTCAAACTAACCCTTCCCCTCTTCTTTTCTTCTCTTTTCTTCTGCAGGACTTTTCTTTGTGATTCAGACTTGTTTTGAGCACTGGTTATGAACACACACACACACACACACACACACACACACACACACACACACACACACACACACACACACACACACACACACACACACACACACACACACACACACACACACCCCCATGTTGGTGTACCTCAGTTTTTTTGTCCCTTATGTATATGCCTGTTTACTTTTGTTCTACTTCTCATTGAATTATTTTATTTTATTATNTTATACATTTTCCACTTTCTCTGGTCACTAATTTACCTCATAAACGAGCCACATCCAATCCAATCTAATCCAACTTTTTTTATATAGCACTTTAAAACCTTCAGACCAAAGTCCTGTACAGAGAGATAAGCTCACCAAACATAAAATAAATACATTTAAACTAAAAGATACAAACACAAAACAAACCAGAATAAATGTAATAATCACATCCCACTCTTGTGCCTTACACACATATTTGGCCAACATTTAGTGGTGTGATCCACAACATTTTTCACCAACAATAGCTCTAATTTACTGTTCATGATGCATTAAAACACTAAATTTCCCTCTGTTCTTGCAGATTGGTGAAATACTGTGCCACCTACAACAACCACGACCCTTTCCTCTCCAATTGTCTTCCCAGCAACCCCTGGATCACCGATGATGTCACGTTCTGGACCTTGAACATGTCCTGGTGAGTCATCTGAGGACCATACATTTGGAATAACTTGTTAGTTTACGTTGATTTTATTTGTGATTGTAACAGTGTGGAAATACCAACTAAGATGCGTGTGGAGCGATGGACGTTCAGCTTCGCAGAGCTGCTGTCAGACACCCGAGGACGAGATGACTTCAGACTCTTCCTGAAAAAAGAATTCAGCGGTACGTTTTATATTTATTATTGCCATATCCCTGCACTGTAGATCCATTTTTGGTCACACAATGTTAATATTGAAACAATTCCAAGGGACTAATATAGTTTTCATTTTTATTGTTTTCGTTTCTGCACCACCTTAGGTGAGAACTTGGCATTCTGGGAAGCTTGCGAAGATCTAAAGTGGGGCAAAGCTGCGTCGATTAAAGAGAAAGCAGAGCATATCTACAAGTAATGTCTTACATAATTCTCTGTGTAGAATATGAGTTTTGATAGTCGTTGATAAAGCAGGCACAAGAGGCGACTGATCATCTATTTTTTAAAGTTTTTTATATTAATTATTTGACCATCTATGTTTTTTGTAGTTGTTTAATTAGCTCTTTTTACTGCACTGTTAGTGTATTATTATGCTGCTGTGTTTATTGTATCGTTGTAACTCTGGCACAACAATTCCCTTCGGGTCAAAGTCCTATCTTATCTTATCTATCTCTCTTATTCATGATTTCATTCTCATCCATCGATTTTGCGGTTGTGAGGATTTTCAACATTTCTCAGTTTTATATCATCTACTGAATATCTCATTTCTTTTTCTTAACATTTCTTTGGAATTGAATTAGTACAAGTACCTCAAAGGTGTATTTCACATGCAGATCTTGAGTAAATGTACTGGGTTACAGTCCACTGATGCTTGGTTTGTATCTGTTTCTCCCACTTTCCTGATCCCAGAACATTCCTGGCACGAGGTGCACCGCGGTGGATCAACATTGACGGCAAGACCATGGAAGTCACGGTGAAAGGTCTGAAACACCCACACAGATACGTCCTGGACCCCGCCCAAACCCACATCTACATGCTCATGAAGAAGGTCAGGAAACACATCAGTAGTTGGCACGATCGTTCGTTGAAGTAGTCAATGATGATTCATGATGAATTTGTTTGTATTTCCCAGGACTCATACGGCCGGTACCAAAAATCTCCGGTGTTTAAGGATACGGTGAAGAAGGCCATCTGTCCTGATGAACACCGTTTCAGGTAAGTGACCGTTCTTAAAGCAGTTTATTTGGGATAAGATCTTTAAGGCATTATTCTTTTGATGTGATTATCTCGACCGTTTATTCCACTGTACACTATTTAATTTGACATTCTATTTTCAGCTTATCCTATGTTTTGCGATTTTACACATACATGTATATTTTACATGTATATAGTTATATACTTATTTATGCATTTACTGGCAAATTGGTCACTTGCAACATTTACTTGCACGGTTTTATTTCTGTTCTCTAGCAATATATTTGTATTGTATTACGGCTTATATATATTTATGTTGGAGGAGCCCAGGACTTAAGATTTCCATTGCCAAAACTACACTGTAGCTATAGTGACAACAAAACCAAATTAATCCTTGAACCAGCCTGGTTAGGAACACAAAGGGAGAAGAAGGCAGTGATTCATTAATGCAAATGATGACTTAGAAGTGTCTCTCATCTCTCAGCCTGGTATAAGTGTCACTGTAGCTTTCTGAAACCACATCCATCTCTGTACTTCCCCTCCCAGTGGTGCCCAGTTGGAGCAAAATTCTAAGAAGCGACGGCCGAGTCTCAGCCCCATCATCCTGCGGCAGATGGAGCAGGAGCAAAGGGCCAAGATGGCCGCCAACATTGACATCACACAGGTCATGAGCAAACTCAGCGAGCAGGGCAAGGAGGCGCCCCCTCGTCCTCCTAAAAAATGAGCAATCAATGATTTTATTAAATTATAAAGAAGTATCATTAAAATAAACACTCCAGGTTCTGAATACTACTGTCTTAGTTTACTCCACCGCTCTTAATGTGTAGTATTTGATGAAAGATACTCTTTTCATTACCTGCTCAAAACAAACAGCAGACAGATGTTGCTGTTGTGTTAGTGCTGCAGAAAGACATTTTCTTCAAGAAAGTACATCATTAAGTTGATTTTCTTTAAAGACAGTTTTAAATATGCAGAATAGAGTAGTGTTAGCACAAATAGTAAACTTTAATAAAGCTTTTTATAAAGGGTACCAAAATGTCCCACCTAACTATAATGGTATTTCACTACCCACATCGTGAAATAAAAATAAGAGGAGAAAGATTTGTTTACATTTTTCATTTTGAGAAAAATGTCAAAAATAAAGTTAGGCTACCACCACTATATGCTCTTATGCTAGTGGTTGGATTTATTCTCAATATTTCAACTTTATTTTCAACATTTAAGGATGATTCTCAAAATGATGAATACAAATCTACCTCCTTAATACCCCACCCCTCATGTCCTGTCGTACATATAACCGCTATAAGAGGTTAGATTTGGGGCGACTGATCCTTTAAACACTCAAATCCTGTTGAGAATTTACTGACATAATTCCATTTAACAGCTATTTTGAGATGTCTTTCCATCTGTTGCATTTCTAGCCATACCAGCTGTAACTGTTGTCTGTCCTGTTGTTTTCTCATATGTCGTATTATTCATCCCCACTCATGTATTATATCACTCACTTCTGTACTTACAATCTGTTTTCCCTGTCATCAGTCATGAGCTAATAAAACATTCACAAACCACCCCTTGTTTATCTGTTTGTGTTCATAAACTGTTTCATATAATTTCTCTGTCCTATTGGTTTTTTCCTATTCTGAACATCATGATGTTTAAGTAAGTATAACACTCGCTGTAAGTTTCCCAAAATGCCATTTATTTTCTGTCTGACTTGTGTCTGTTGCCCTTTGACCTCACAGCTGTGCCGCTTCACCACTCCCGTCCCCCACCTCGCTGTCTACTCCGGCTTCACTGACTACCCCACTGCCACCGCCTCACCCTCCCTCACCTTCCTGGCCCACACCCCGGCCTGTCCGTCCCCCATCAGCGTGGCCCTGGACAGCACCTCGGTGTCTGAGCGGCGGGTGGAGGAAGCAGAGGGTGACGGGAACCCTGCGGCTCAAGCCCCGGTGGGTGGAAATGTTTCCAAGTCTCGCATGGCTCTGTCCCTGCGTCGCCTGCTGAAGGGCGGCTGCACCCCCGCCACCATGTTCGCCAGCCTGTCGCCCAAATGTCACTCAGCAGCCGGGACAAGTAGCCGCATCCAGCCCATCAGCCCGGACCAACCCAGCCAGGCCCCACCCCGACGGATTGGAAAGTGAGTGTGAGAAAAAAAGTTGCACCTATAATACTGTGCACTTAGATATTTGATTAACTCTACAACACTATTAGAAGGTGAGGATTTATCTTATATTTTAACTTCAGTAGTGCCATGAGTAGGCTATATTACATATTTTACTACGGTAATACCACACTGTTAAAATAAAATGTTCTGAATTAAAGGGTTATTTCAAGTAAATTTACAGTTTAAAACGGTTTGCATCAAATTATACAGAATGACCCATTTTAGATGAATGTATTTTACTTTTACGGATCAAAAGAATGTTGCATTAATGTGTTCATCACTTGGTAAAGATGGAGCTGAATGTAATGACCTTATATTGCAGTGTAGCTAACCTTTAATAATATAACATCACTTATTAGATCTGCAAAGTAAATAACGCTCCCAGGCAAATGTAGTGCAAAGTTTGCCTCTGAAAAGTAGTTTAAAGTACAAGTAACTATTAGTGGAATCTACTTTCCACTTATAGTTAAATTGTCCATTGCTTTTCTTAAAATTAGGTAGTAGAAGGTGTACAAATTCTACACAGTTTATCTAATGTGAATGTACACACCCTCAAATTAAAGCTAAATGTTTGCACTTCAACGTCATACTCATTTTAACATATTAAATGTAATGTACTGGAGTGCATCTAATACTTTCTGCCTGCAGTGTATTTTAACTGAAAATGGATATCAGACGTGTCTTACAAAGTCCTTTCTGCACCCTGCACAGTTTTTTCCAGATTAAAGTGGATATTCCCCCAGAGTGCCGTATCTACCCCATAGAGTCAGAGGATGAGGAAGAGGAGAGCCGGGCGGCCTTTCGGGGGGGAGTGGGAGCCAAAGAGATCATCTGCCCCTGGGAGAGCCTCACGACACAGAACGGGACGGGCTAGTCGGCTTCATTTACACAGGAATAAAAAAAGGGTTATTTTAATTATTTTGAGCAGGCAGATTTCGCCCATGCTCTGACAGAGATAACAGATCTCAAACAGGACATGAAGTGGTTAAATCCCTGTGTAAACAAACGGCCAATCCTGAAAACTAGAGATTGCTGTTTAGACTGTGTCCAAGATTTAACTCCTTAAAGGCAACCTAGTGTTTGTTTCTAGCGTTAAACACATACTGCCTGTAGGCCTGAAAGGACCCAGTGTAATGTTTGCCTCAGAATAGTCCTTTACTCCAATGCCCGCACTTTTAGAACAATCACCATATTCATATATCCCCAATTTATGAGTAAATACAGTGTTTTCAGTTGTTTAACATTTAAGTTTTTCCTCCAGTGCAACCCTTTCCCTTTAAGATAAGCTTGACTACCCATCATAAAAGGCTGACATCTTTTGCCAAGGAGCTTATAGATTTCAGTTTGGTTTGGTTTGTTTGCCTGTTTGTCAGCATGATTACAGAAAACAACTGGCCCGATATTCATGAAACTCGGTGGAAGTGTAGCATGTAGCAAAGAAAACCCATTACAATTTGGAGCGGATCCAAATCAAGGGACAGATTCAGAAGTTATTTTTCGCTTTCGCTAACATTGCGATATATCATGGCCGAGAGGCGTCTGCGCTCTTCAGGTGTCCATCTAAATATTTATATTACTCCTCAATTATACAGGTTATTGGTGTCCTATCGCATGGCAGAGGAAGTTGTGATCAACCATATTTTGGCACATTTGTTGTTTGGAAATAGCATCTTACAAGCCAACAGACAGATACGTGTTGGTTACTCAACATGTGTTTTTGGTGGAGTATTTCTTTAAATATAGCCTTATTGACACCAACCCTTTCTGATGTGAGCACCGGCTTGGCCAGATTTAAAGGTTAGACCCTTAGTATTGTGAGGTGCAGCTCGACTAGAGGACAACAGGGTGTACACACATCCACAAGTTATGGACTCTTGAGCTTTAGCTTTCACATTCAAACCTCATTCTGTATTTATTAACAAACAGTAGCCCGACAGCAGCCTTATCCTTGCATGTACACATGCATGTACACAGATATTTAGGCCTAAAGATACAAAATATAAATGAGAAGAAATATTATTTTTGTGATTGCCAAGAACCATGAATAAATGTTATATAATACATAAAATACGATGTTTACATCTTGTAGGCAGACACATTTGATTCTGCCTATGCACATGCCTGCTAACAATTGAATAATGATCTTTGAAGTAGAGAAGTGTTTTTGTGCTGCTCAATAGATTTAGATGCTTCGTCCACATTTTACTTACCTCTTACACACATTATGTGAAAATAAATAGATCCAGTTCAGGTTAAAATGAGAGCACATGAACAGACCGTCTGCATGTTGCTTTTTTGTTACTGTAATGGGGGCCGGGTAAGAGTTTTGTATTTAGCTTCACTAATGTTTAGTAGCTGTTGTATGCTGTGCACTACTCTGAGCGAGGTTTTGGTATTTTTCTCACATATCTCCTTTGAGGGGGATACAGTACAATGTGAATTTACTGTCAGAATGTATTATCTTTACAATGTTTACAGATGCAAGAATGTGAAAAGTACCTTTTTAATTTGTGGTATTTGATTTGTACATTCCACAGCTTGTGTGAAGTGCCTAAATAAAAGTCTTAACAAAAAAGGCTCACCTTCTTCATTAGATGCCGCCACAATAAAAAAGTAACATTTTCCAGCATATCTACTGTATATGGAAGAATAATTTTGATTTTATTTTGTTTTCAGGTTCTTAAATCTTCTGAGCTAAGTAAAGCTAAGTCACAGCTAAGTCACACCTAACAGATTACATAGAGGGACTATTTAAATGAGGGTGGATGGCCACAAGGTGGCAAAATAACAACAGCTATGGAATAAGGCAACAGTTACATTACGTAATACAAGCTGCTGGCAGGGAATACAAAATACAGGTGCATTACTTCACTGAAACCTAAAATATTAAATCCGAGACAATCAGTGTTTTAAATGCATCAACATGTTTTCATAAAGGTTTTCTTACTTATCATTTAGAAAAAGTGAAATATTTTTAACCAGAGGCAGAAACAAATTTGAGGGAAATCTGGAATCTGATCCCCTGACATCTAATTTCCACATAAACCTAACCAAGGTCAATATTTTGGTAAGTATGAGCAGGACAGTACTGCTCCAATATCCAAAAGGTAGTGCTGCAGAATACATTAAAACATAAAAAAACGTGTGCTCGTAGTAAACATTATTTATGCCTACACCAAGGTTACTTATCTGAGGACGGAGCATAGCTTTGATCTCTCTGTGTGTGTGTGTGTGTGTGTGTGTGTGTGTGTGTGTGTGTGTGTGTGTGTGTGTGTGTGTGTGTGTGTGTGTGTGTGTGCCCAGAACCTCAATCAGAATCACAGGTGACCTGGCGTCTAGCTGAGCCTCCTAGGTTTGACAAGAGCAGATAATTACTAAGGACCCCCCACGTCGTAAAATCAGACCAGTTGAGAAAGCGAGCATCGATGAAGAGGAAGAGAAGAAATGACCTTAAAACTTGAACTATATTTAGGTCACCTTTTATGCCTCCTCTTCACACCTACTATTCTCCCTTTTGTTAGCCTACAACCTTTTATTCTTCTTCTTTTCATCTGTAGCCTACTGCAGGACTCTGATAGTTATCTGAGCCATATTCTGCTGATTCAATTCGGCATGCCAAACCCTGTAAACACAGGTATGCACAAAATGTATTTGTAATAGCCTATAATTTATATGCAGTATTTAAAGCCAACTTTCTATTTAGGTAAGACGTTGGATACTACCTCGTATCCATGGATACCTAATAATGACAAGAACATATCCGTGTCTAAGAAGTGAAGCATATGCCACCAATATTCTTAAAAAGCATAATATTCATTTGGTAAGCTACGGTCATCTACATACAAATAAATAAGTAGGGGAGGGTTTAGGGCAGGGCTTCCATGTGATTGATAAATTGCTAAAATCGTCTACCACATTGTTCAGCTTTAGGTTGCGCTGAAAGACATACTAAAGAGTCAGCTGTCATTTTTTTCTGCTAAGTTGTTTAAATCATGTTTTTTTCTTGTCCAAATTAGCATTGGCTAACGAGTTAACCTAAGAATTTTACTAACCAAGCTAGCTAGCACTAGCTGGTTATTTAAAATTCTAATGTCGAGACTTTCAAATTGTAGTCCACAAAACAGTTGGTGACATCAACATGGCCGCTCCTTTTACACAGTCTATGATAATTAACAAGGTAAATGTAGCTAATGCTTAAGTGCAGGGCTACCTTGTGATTGGGAAGTTGCTAAAATGGCTAATGCATACATAAAAAGATAAACACACATACAAATACATATTCCACTTTATTTCTTTGGCAAATTTGATAGAGTGACTGGGTGTATTTGTTATCTTTTGATATTTTTGTTTACTTATGTAAAACTTAAATATCCAATAATATATGGTAAGCCTTGGCAATAATGTAAATTGAAAAGAGAGAGAGAGACAATGTCCAAATGTCAGGTGAATTTCAGCCAGAATAAAACAGTGAAATCTCTGTCAGCTATGCCGCTATGCGAAGTTTCACAAGAATAACAAACCAGCCAACCACTCTCTCTCTTCGCCATACACAGACTATCAAAATATGCACACACATGCACATGAATTGTACAAATAAGAGCAAACACTAACACACACAAACACACACACATTTATGCACACCCACGCATACTATCTTTGTCTCATGAGAAATGATATTAATACCTGGCAGGCTTTAAAATGTCAGCCAGACTCAAACAAAGTGCACAAAGAGCCAATTTATTTATGGATCTGACACTTCTCATGTCTTCTGCTCTTGAGCTATTTTGGTTTTCAAAGTGTGTCTTTAGAATTACGAGGAAGAAGAGGGGGAGGAGGGGCGTAGATGAAGATGCAGACGGACAAACTGACCGAGTGCTGGGAAAGGTAGGTATGTGTGTGTGTGTGTGTTGGCAACAGAGGAGATCAGCCAGTGAAGCCCTGAGGAGTTGGTATTTTAACCCACAGTTGGGGTAAAATGTCCCTTAGGATGGTTATTCCACTCCTGTCCTGACACAGCTGTGATCAAAGAGTTGCATCGGGTGATAAAAATACCAGAAATGTGGGCTAATCACAAATCTGCATTCAGCCCTGATGGCTGCTTTCTAACATGAGCTGATTCTTTACTCTACCCTCTGTCTTCTGCTTTTGTCTTTTCCCCCTCGCTCTATTTCCTCTTCCTCTTAGTATTCACCTCCACAGTCACACATATTAGTCCAATCTCCAGAGCTGTTTACTCATTGAGTGATGATTGCCTGCTTAAACATCTGTCTACACCAGTGTACACAGCTACACACACAAACACACACAAACAAACAAACAAGCAAACAGTGCCATATCTGATTGTATCCCAGACGGCCAGTAACATCAGTGTCTACTTGACTTTAAGATGAACAGATATAATATCACTCACGGTTATAATTACATTTATAACAGTGCATTGGAACACTAGATTCATACATTTGATGCATATTCCTTTTCTTTTAATTTATTCTGAATCAAATTAGAATTTGTTATAGTTGCATGCTGCCTGCAAATTAACCTTGTAATGTTGTTTTTCCGACTGGATATTCAATTTCATTATGTTCTACAAGTCAAGCGATGAAAGTCAAAGGAAAGTTGTCTCTCTTCGACTAACAAGAACGACCTTCAGTGCCATTTTTTAGGAATGACAAATTACTTCAACAAAAATAAAACACAGCAGAAAAAATAACTAAAGTTAGAGCTGCATAAATTATAATTTTCACTCAAGCAATCGTCAAGTCAAGACATTGTTATTTATATAGCCCAATATCACAAATGTGCCTCGAGGCTGTCTCTGTTGAGCAGACACCTTTTGTCCTCAGGGCCTGTATTTGGAAAAGGAAAACTTTATAAAATGACAGTTAAAATGTTTTGTTGAATAACTGCGTACAATGTAAAAGTGGTTGCTAATAGTGACAAATCCACAGAGAATTCTGCAATTCCTTTCTCAACTTATATTATAATGTCTCTACAACTGACCTTACAATCAGCTGCTGCATACAATGTGATAGTAACACACACTTGTATGTTCCTGTTTGCATGAGTCAGAGTTTTGGATATGGCTGCTCATCCCTGTTTCCCTTTACTTGTCTCTGCTCCCTGGGGCTCATATTAAGGATTCATTGTATTACATTTGCATTCTTCCTGTAGGGCACATCATTTGTAGGCATGAACATTTGCCAACACAAAATTGTTTCTAATTGTAATGCAGATGACACCGCTTTGTCTAACTGCAACACAATGATGCTGGCTTTGTTGTTCAGATATTAAGTTGGAGTTCTCAGAACTTCCTTCAGCTCAGTAACAATTCTTAATGTTCAACACCAGTAACAATGTCCACTACAGTCTCAATAGTTAAGGCTCTTGTCGTTGTCGGCTCGAGCCTGTGTTTTATTTGTCATGTCGAGTTTGCTGTTCAGTCTTCTGTTATAGAACATCTCTGAAATCAGGGGTTTCATCCTAAGGCTGAACTCCAGAACGTTTCCTCTGCTTTATCTTAAATAATATACTGTTCTAGCTTCCAGCACTACATACTATCAGAGCCATTTCATCCCTGCAAAGCTTTTATCTAACTCATAGATCTCTGCATCATTGCCTTTCTTTTTCTAGTTGTCGGTCAGTTTAGGAGCTTCTGCAGATTAAAGACCCAGAGAAACAAGGCTTTAGTAGGCAGGGTATTAACGTTTTTCCTTTTCTGGTCAACTTTAATATTCTTAAGTTTTAACCCTTTTTAGCTTGTATCTACTCATTTTTGTTATAGTCCTTTATTGCAGTGATTTCCCATTTGGCATTGCTTAAATGGGTCCACAATTACAATCTTTTATTGTACAATGGTGATCCTTTAGCTCCCAAACTTGAGGTTGAACTCAATTAGGTTATTTCTGTCTCTTTATATAAAGATTATAAACATGAGAATACAGCACAGTAATATTGTGGAAGTTGGTCGTCATGGCCCTAACCGGAATTTCACCAAAACAAGTTAAGCACAGTTAAAAAACGTAATCACAACTGTGGCATATTAAAACAGTTTTCATATAATTCATTTTTGTTGTTATGTTTTTGAAGACATTTAGAAAACATTATCTTTCCGATAAAGGCGTCGGATACAGAACATCAATATTTTAGAAGGTAACAACAAACTATAATTTGTGTGAAGAGGTCAAATACGCATCGACAGCCTCTGAAAGAAAACAGGCCTGTCCATTACTCTGAGACTAAGGCATCTATTTATGACAAGAGTCAGATAAAGGCGAAACACTATATTTAATCAATACTGCTTTGACGTTAGGTGCCTCTTAATCTTAGTGTTTTCTGAAGTCTCTCCTAAATATATTTTTTAGATTAGTTTGGAGGATTTCTTAGTATTTGAGTGTCTTGTTGGAAAGTTTTCAATTTTGAGAAATATGTTTTATACATTTTTTCCCCCAAACTCTGTTGCTTCAAATTGACCCCAATGGTAAAGATTGCATTGATTATGTGTTGAATGAACTTGAAGCGTCTGATCTGGTTTGCAGTTTTACAGAGGGCCAATGAAAAACAAGTTGCACAACTAACCCTA